AAATTTTTTTTTATTTTATTATTTTTGTGTGAGTGTACCGTCAAATCTGATCTGAGTGGTACAGGAGGAGACTGCCCCTCCTTCCCCGGCAGAGCATCTGGTGGATTCGAACCGTGTGCCTCTGGGATTGTAGTTGCAACTCCTTACCACTAGGCCACCAGAGCTCCCCTGCAGCCTTCATTTTTAGCTCTTCATCTGAGTCTCTCACTGGCTTGCATGTCCTTAAAGAGCACACGGTGGTCCTGGGCAGCACCCTCTGGCTGGGCCCCCAGGAAAGTGAGGTCATCTGTGACCTTAGATATGAGTCCATTTTAAGTGACTCATCTTGGTTGTTGCATTTAGAACAGACTGTGATACAGAAGCGGCAAGGAGATCTCTAAGGGAATTGTTGAACCAGGGAGGTGAAGGCTGATGGTGGTGGTGGGGAAAAGCTCAAGACTGTGGATGCACCCTGACAGTGAAAACTAAACACTGGACGTGAGAGGGTGGCCTTCAGTTGAAAGCTTGACCTGGAAGAATGGCGTTGCCACGACCCAGAACGTGTGTCGAAGGCTTAGCCTGGTGTCCGGCCCCTGTCAGTTGTTCAGCGGGGGGGGGGGGGTTGTTTATCTGGGTGACAATTTAGAGTGAAAACAAAGCCTCTTCTTTCTGTGTGTTGTACTTCTGTGCACCCACACCAGCAAGCCCAATGTCTCACCACAGTAACTAGAATAAATAATATATTCAGGTCGCACATTGCCAAAATCCTGTGATGATAATCGCGTCTTGTCAGGGGCATCAAAACTAGTAATAAAATGTAAAAGTAAAATGTTTCATACTATGGAAAAGATACCCAGAGCACTTCCTGTGTCACTTCTCCCCCTCCCAGGATGCTGCCCTACGGCTGCCTCGCCACGGGAGACCGCTCAGGCCTCATTGAAGTCGTGAGCACCTCAGAGACGATCGCTGACATTCAGCTCAACAGCAGCAACGTGGCGGCCGCCGCAGCCTTCAACAAGGACGCCCTTCTGAACTGGCTTAAGGAATACAATTCTGGGTGGGTTTATTTGCTTTCATTATTGTTAACTTTTTTTGAGGGAAGGGAAAAATCGTAGTATTGATCTTATTTTATTTCAAATGGGAATAGTGGACCTGTAATAAGAGACTTAGTTAAACACAAAGCAGAACAAGACATTAAACCCATGGGCAGTGAGTGGATTATACACTGAACTTCTAAAACAGTCGGCAGCTCCGATGGTGTAGGCCATACAGTCCTTCCGTGTGTCTCTGGAATTCCTAATTCACCAACTTGACTTTTTTTTTATCATTATTCTTTTCTTCTCCCCCCCCCCCAACTATTTTATTTACAAAACTCGGGTACAAATCTGAACAAATTCTTTCAATACTCTTTATGAACAGCTAAAGAAGTAATCATTGTCCAGCTTAGAGACAGTATTAACATTTTTCTTTATTACTTCATTGTAGGTTAGTGCGAAATAACACACTCTCCTTCCGAAAGATTCGCATATGGTCAGCATGGAATTGTGTGTTATCCGCATCAAACTTTGGAGCCCTGTTCTATAAAATCACTGAGGCCGTAAAAGTTTTTAAGGTTACAGATTTGCATTTTAAAGTACATTAGCTTCTATCATAATGTGAACGTATCAACTGCAATAAGTTTTAATAGATTCATTTTATCTGGTAGAAGAAAATGAGCGTGTAGACTTTGATCTCCCTCAGCCGGAAAAGAGTGCATAGAATTGCACTGTTTGTGCTTTTGTGTTGGGAAAGCATTAACCTGCAGAAAATAAAGCAATTTCCAATGGGCAGGGGAAAACCCTTAAAAGATTTTTAGTGTGTTTTTTATTTTAAAATCTCAGTCAGACCCAAATTTTTATTGTTGGGGGAAAAAAAATCAAAGACTTATATGTGTGAGAATCAGCTTCCAGATTTTAATAATAGTCTCAAGGATCTAGAGGATCAGTTTTACCTCCTTCTAGTTGGAGTCAGCGATTTAAATGCTTACAATTGCAGTACTTAGGCAGGGACTTGCAGTCTTGGGCCCAGACCTATAAAGCTGTCCCTGAGCCTCCGCGTCCTCTAGCAAAGCCCTGCTCTCATTGCTGTGCGTGGTAACCTGCCTTCACCGCACTCTGATACATGACCTTCAGAGCATGCGCGTTAGACCAGCAGAGGCAGAGCTGTGGGACATTCTGGCACCAGCCTCCTGCCCTGCTCGGTAGTGACCACGCCGACTCCTTGGGCTGAACCAGCACACCCACCAGGGATTCGAGTCATCCGAGTAGAGGTTCTCACGCTCCAGAAGGGTGAGTTGAGCCTCATCCCCACCTTCGGAGGCTGAAAATCTTTGTTCTCCTTTTTTTCTCCTGTTAGAGATGACCTGGACCGAGCCATTGAGGAGTTTACCTTGTCCTGTGCTGGCTACTGTGTAGCTTCTTATGTCCTTGGGATTGGTGACAGGCATAGTGACAACATCATGGTCAAGAAAACTGGCCAGGTGAGCTGCCTCCCCCCCCCGCCCAATTCTGCCCGAGTCCAGTGATGCCACCAGATGCAGCATAATCTCAGATGCTCAAGCAGATTCTTGAGTGATTTAAGGACTTCCTTTGCCTGCCCCTCAGTTCCCTACTCCTCTGCCACATCTCTAGACTGACATCGTTGCTTTTCAGCACTCTATAGAAGTCCCTAACAGCAGAGTTTTAGGGTCATTGTTTTTATTTTAAAGGAAATCCCGTTGACTGGCCTAATAACATGTTAGTGCTTCTTTCCTCTTGCCTAGTCCTTGCTTAGTGCCAGGGGCTGTAGACTGTTGCCGATGGTCATCCAAGGCATGGCTGGTCTCTGTTCACCTGGAGCCACAAAGGAAGGAGGAGAGTCAGAATTAGAAAATAGAGGCACAATACGTGGCCCATCGCCTCCTGTGCATTTAGACTAGAACTGATGGTGCCCGGCTACCATTATGATCAAAGAGTCTGAAGAATTCTAATCAAAAGAAGGGGAAATGCAGACTAGAACTTCAAATTCTCATGGACTCTACACTTCCTCAAGCTGTGGAGGATGGAAGAACCCCTGAAAATTGTCCTTTTAACCCTTCAACTACAACAAAACATGCCTTGAGCATTATGCTCTTTTGAGAACTATCTGTACGTGAACAGATTTTGCCAGAAACTTGAAAGAATGGACAGGAACCTTAGGGTGAGTAGATAAGAACCTTAGAGTCAGTGAGGATGTTGACAAGAGAGGAGCAGCTCAGAAAAGGAGGGTGGGAAAGGCCGCCAGCTCTTTGTATTCACTGTCACAGAGCTGTACATGAACAGACTCTTGAGGTGGTGTGCGTGTGGCTGTGTGTATTTTTGACAATAGCAAGATAAATCGAGGGGCAGGAAAGTTAATATCTCATCTAATTTTTTAAATTAAAGAAAAAAAAGCCTCTAACAAATTGACGTTAAAAATTTGTCAGAATCACAGCAGACCATATGTAAGGCTTTAAAAAATCAGAATAATACTCAGTTCCTCAGTGGCACCACTAGAAATTGTGATACGGTAGTTTACCCTCAGGATTCTGAAGCAAAATTACTTCTAGTTTAGGATTCTATAATGAAACCATCAGTAAATATTCTCATAGGATAAAGACATTTCAAGTGCAGAAGTTCTCAAAAGTCATGTCTTTTGTGTACTTTTTTCTCTGGAGGCTACCGGAATGAAGAGATCCACTAAAACAGGGTTCTAAACCAGTGCGTGGTTCTCAGGTGGTGTTACTGTGAGTGCGCCCCACCTCTGCTTGGCACATCTGTCCATTGTCTGATGATAGTTTTTGTCTGTCACGCCTGGAGGTTGTGTTACTGGCATCTGCTGAGTCCAGCGTCCCCACTGCACGCTCGGTCTCCACCTGCATCTCAGTGAAAGAGAGGTGATGTGGGACTCAGGAAAACGGAGCCCTTTGAGAGAAGAGTGAAGCAAGCTCCTAGGACGCTGCCTCCCCGGCTGACCTGGAGAGCACCCAGCTCAGATAGGAACTTGGGGATTACACCATGTGGCTTAGCTTTGAAATACATTCACATGACCTGAACAGTATAAAGACTGAATACTAATTTAACTAGAAATTATGGCATGTTTGCTACCGCCTATACCCTACACCAGGACTCATAGCTGACCCTCCAGCAGGTTTTCAGAAGCAGTGAATCACAGAGGAGGAAATTGTTCCTCTTTCTCCCGTGGATCATGGTAGATTCAAACCCTGTGCCTGTGAGATGGCAGAGCAACTCCTTATCAATAGGCCAAAGATAATAGCATAAACATATTTAGAAAAACGGAAGCAAACTCCAGAAGTAACAAACAGCAGAGGGGAGGAGCTGTGACCTCTGAGTGGTCCTCAGCTCGAGGAAGTGTGCGTTGTGCTGACAGGGCATCTGGTGGTGTAGCCTGTGAGGAATGAAGCTGCCCACTCAGAGGTCTTTCCTCTCATGTTTTGGGTCCACCAGCAGCTCTGTGGGAGGAAGATGGGTGATCTCCAGTGTGATTTACCTGAAAGCCCACTGGAGAATCAGCTAGGAGTTGATTCCATCTGGACAATAATGCAGGAGAGACACTGTTTTGCAGAGCTAGTTAGCTTAAAAAAAATCTGATACTATTGCTGGGGGTTTTGTTGGATTTAATCTGAGGCTTTGGTTTTTGTTGTTTTTAAATAGTCCCCTTTCCTAGCAAGTTCCTGCAGATTTAATTTTCTGTTAGTGAGGAGGATAAAAGCAGGTTAGAACTTCTGTCTTGCCAAGTGGCCCATGGCTGTCCAAGAGGAAGCCTGGATGAGGGAGGGCTTCTAGGACTCCTGAGAGCTTGCCCTTCTGTTTGGAACAGACGAGAAAAATGAAGGAAATGAAGTGTCATTTGTTTTCCAGCTCTTCCACATAGACTTTGGACATATTCTTGGAAACTTCAAGTCTAAGTTTGGCATTAAAAGAGAGCGAGTACCTTTTATCCTCACCTATGATTTTATTCATGTCATTCAACAAGGAAAAACAGGAAACACGGAGAAGTTTGGCCGGTGAGTAGGGCCCCTATGTCAGGGCTAGCCTCATCTACCACTTTCTTATCTCACTAGCTGGACCAGCCTCTTCTGTCCTGTGCCGGGTTTGGATCTGAGGGTATACTGTCTCCTAATGGAAGACTCAGGGGGAGGGAGATTTTCCTATCAGTTTCACCTGCTTGTTCAGAAATGTGCAGAGAGGAGAAACCAGAAATGCTAGACATCTGCCGTATGTGTTGTGCTTGCAAAGTTGCCATGCTTTTACTCTGCTCTATCTTTTGCCTGTTGCAGAAATTGCTCTGAACTTTTGAGACATTTGATGGTGACATGCTGAGAGAGCCGGGCACATTGCTGTGATTCTGTGTGCCGTGTGCTAAGGGAACTGGCGCCAGGGGAGGGGGTGACTTGGTGGCCCCAGACACTTCGTGGCCTCATTTACTACCTGTGTGTCTCGTGCTCCGTCAGTCCTCTTACCTTTGTCTTAAAATGAGAGCACTAATAATGAGTGTGATTAGGCATACAGATGTGGCTGACACACAGAACACATGGAACTTGATTATACTCTCTAGTCCTGCCTGAGTTCTGGTCAAATATACCTCTTTATATACAGTTCTCATGCACGAAATTAGGTAGATATGATTGAATGGTCCTCCTGAAGGACCATCTTAAAGAGAGCACAGAGAACAGCGAGGTGGCAGCGCGTGTAGACGCACTGCGGTTAACCGGTTAACCGTGCTGGGAGCTGGGCCAGGTCTGTAAAGGAATCAGGCTCCGTAGTCCTAGCCCCGCATCTAGACACACTCTGGTACAGTCATCACCTCCTTTATCTACTATCTACTATCTCATAGAATTAAAAAGTCCCAAGTAATTGTCTGATTGCCTTTTGGCAAAAAAATTTTCCTTTCCTCTTTGATTGTGTGTTTTAGTTTTTTAAAAAATGTGTGATTTTAAGGTGAGCTGTGGTGCCCTAGTGGCAAGAAGCTGCACTGCAATCCCAGAGGTATGTGGTTCAGGTCTACCAGATGCTATGCTGGAGGAGGGGCAGTCTCCTCCCAGACCAGTCAGATCTGATTTGACAGTACACACACACAAAATAATAAAAATAAAATACATTTTTAAAAAAATTTTTTAAAGTGTGATTTTAGGAAATACATAATTTGTGTTTCCATCCTGGGCCCGTGGTCAAAGACACGAAGGTTAGAAATGAACCGTCAGCTCTGTGGACTTGTTCCAGCACCGTGTAAGGAATCGCGCTGTCCCACTAACACCACGCCGTGTCATTTGCCGTCCAGGTTCCGCCAGTGCTGTGAGGACGCATACCTGGTCTTACGGAGGCACGGAAACCTCTTCATCACTCTGTTTGCACTGATGTTGACGGCTGGGCTGCCAGAGCTCACGTCGGTCAAGGACATACAGTATCTCAAGGTAGGAACTTGCCCTGTGTATGTTCAATGATATGGAGCTCAGCTCTGACTTCCCAGTTCATCCAAATGCCCAAAGAGAGTGGAATGCCTTCTCCTCTGAAACACTTCTTAGGAGGAGAGGAGTTTGGGGAGTTCATAGGAAGGAACCGTTATGAAAGGGGACCCTGGAACCCAGGGAATTCCCCACTGGGAAGAAGAGCGTGGCCACGGCTGTCTTGGGCAACAGCCTAGCCTCCCGCACTCTGAAAGATTAGCCGTTAGCACCTGCTTGATTGCTTGCTTTTCAAGAACCTGCTTTATACTTGGCCTGAGTCTCAGTGAGTCTTGAGACATTGGACTTGTCATAGAAGCAAGCATCTGGGGAAGCTTTTTCCTACCGTATTTTATCTTCGGAAACCCCATGGCAGACGTCACCCTACCTGGGTGTGGAGTCAGATGGGAAGCTGGGAGGCCAACCAGCCTCTGCACGTAGTCACACCTGCGTGTGTCTCTGTCAAGTGTATATAAAGTCACCTTTCTCCCCTCTTTGTTTTTAGGATTCTCTTGCCTTAGGGAAGAGTGAAGAAGAAGCACTCAAACAATTCAAACAAAAATTTGACGAGGCTCTCAGGGAAAGCTGGACCACTAAGGTGAACTGGATGGCCCACACGGTGCGGAAGGACTACCGCTCCTAACCGGTCCTAACCGCCGGCCTCCGCTCCTCATGCAGGTGTTGGTTCCCTGTCATTTTCACTTTGCACTTGCACTAAAATGAACTTGACCCTGCGGGAGATGATATAAAGGGAATGAAATCCTGGAATTCACGCAAACAAGGACCAAGCGTTCCACAGACTCTACCCTGAACCATCCCTGATGGCCACCCTCTCTGCTTCTGAATGCTTGACCGACACTCCTGAGAACTCGCAGCATCGTGGATGATCTCGTCCTGCTGACTTTGCACGCCAGGGAATGCTCCTGCAGACCTCCTGATTTGTTCTGTTTTCTTACTTTCTTTTCTTTTTTCTTTTTTTTTTTTTTAAGTGTTTGGTACTTTTTACAGAAAGTTGTAAATACTTCCTTTCAGTATTGCAACCAAGTATTACCACACAGCTAACTTCTCCACACCCAGACCTGGTGGTGGTTCTGACTTTCCAAACAAGGCTTAAAGGAACGGTATTCTTCTTTCCTCCCGTTTTCCATTGTGTAAATTATAATTATGATATAATTTGAAATTATGATTATTTTTCACAAGAAACTTTTTAAACCTGTGGAGACTTGTTAATTTTTGTTCATATTTATCTACCATGATAGCAACATCCCGACCTGATTTCCTGAAAATCTACTGTTGAGGCAAATATTTTCTATATTTGCGCTGCATATATATATATATTTATAAGATTTCTAGTGGGAGTTATGTGTAAAAAAGAAAAAGAAAATGTTTCTTTAATTTTCTTCAACCTGAGTTTTACAGTTTTACTCAGAAAAAAACCCAACCAGAACAAAACACCAGCTTTTCTTTATGTTCTCTTTCGGTTAACTCTGTAATCCAGTTCTTCCAGCTGCTTCGGTGAAGAAGCACATATTAATACGTTTTTTACATCGTCTCTGTGAAAAAGTTCTTCATAGAGCAGAATACTTGAGCTACTGTATTCAAGAGAAAGCAAATGAAAAGGAGCCTATTTATGAAAGAAATGCCAGATCTAAAATCCAGTATTTTATTAAAATGCCAGCAGTTCTTACTGTATTTATTAAAACTTGTAATAAGATTTTCAAGGATATGCGTTGAGATTGAAATTACTTTATGTCACATGGGATCCTTCTATTTATTTGTTGAGGTACCATACATTTAGGGTGCTAGAGAGCAAATAATGTTACTATGTGCAATAGGAACTACTGGTTTGAATGTGTAAACAAGTCCTCCGAGGCCTGACAACATCCAGCTAAGTGGCTGCTTATTCTCCAAAGACTATCGGGAGCCCTCAGTCCTCAGTGACGTGGGAACGAGAACTGTGGCTGAATTGTCAATCGGGCCTTTGTTAAAGATTGTTTCATTTTACTGTTCTCCTTAATGATCTCCGACAAATAAATGGGTGAGCTGGTTTAGCTGTTCCTGCAATGTGTAGACCTCTTTTTTCGTGTATCTGGGCAGCAAAGGCGTGTGGACCTCAGCACTGGGACTCCGAGAAATGGCCAAGTCACTGAGCAAACCAATCCTCGAAACCGACTGAGGTGTCTTCCCTGGCTGCCTGTTCCACAGCCTCATCATCATGCAGTGGTGGGGACCTCTCAGAGTTGGATCGCACCAGTGAAGAGTCTCCCCTTGTCTTTGGAACATATCCTGAGGTCTAGAATAATGCTCCTTCGGGCCCTTGGCACTCGGATCTAGGCCCGACTGCAGCTACGTCACAGGTCTGATCTTGACCGTCTGTGAATTCAGCAACAGGGCTGTTTGCAGACAACTGTATTTAGGGATCTTTGAGGACCGTCCACCATTGTACACACTAGTCCACAGAGCAGGGGTTTGGGAAGAGGTGAAATGGGTACCACTGTTGACAGAGGACTCTCCTGAGCCCTAAGAAACTATTTGAACAACTCAGCCCAAGTTAACTCTACACAAAGAGATTGCCAGTGGTTTACTGGAATCTATGACTCCTTCAAGTTTTCAGGCCCAAGTTTGACAACTCGAGTTTGACTTTCAGACCACCCTCCCCCATTCCGATGAGGGATTTAATTTTATATAAATTAAAGAATGTAAATGTCTTCAGGAGCATGAAAGAGAAGTAAACCTCCTTTGTCCCCAGACAATGCTGAGGCCCTGTCTGATGCCCTTGACCCTCCCTGCCTTCACCTCTCTCACAGGCCCCAAATAGATGACCAGGACAGGGCAACTCTGTGGCCTCGGTGGCTGCTGAGTGCTTCCTGCGGGTCACCCTCACACCGTGTTCTATTTCACAACATTGCCTAGGCTTTGGTTAAGCCAGAGGGAAGGTGGTGGGGAGGCATACAGTGAGCCACCTTCCATACCAAGCGAGTGGGGCTCTGAGTTGCAGGAGCAGCGGTTGGCATTGGGGTGGGCTGCCCCAATGACCTGAGATACAGGCCATGGTCTTTGCAATCACTTGTTATGCTAGACAATGACTAGGGAGGATAGAAGGCGAATTGATGCCTTTGAGCTGTGGTGCTGGAGAAGAGTGTTGGGTGTACCATGGACTGCTAGGAAAAACAGATTCATCCTGGAGAGGGTTAAACGGGGCTGCTCCTTGGAGGCAAGGATTCTGAGGCTCCGTCTGACATACTTTGGATATGTAAGGAGGGACCGGTCCTTGGAGAGGGATATCATGCTTGGGAGGGTGGAGGGATAGCGCAGGAGGGTAAGGCCCTCTATGAGGTGGATTGATTCAGTGACTGGGGTAATCGGGATGGGTGTATCGGAAACAGTGTGATTGGCACAGGACAGAGCAGAGTTTAGGGCTCTTGTACATAGGGTCACTATGAGTCGCAAGCGACTCGACAGCACATAACAACTCCACCCAGTAAGGAATCTTACCCAAAACACTTGGGCTCCTATCTTTGGACCCTTCCCCAAGATCCCCTCAGACAAGACCTTAGAGCCTTTTTGTTCATTTCCGTGCCTGAGGACAGCAGTTAAGTCTACCTGCATGTGGAGACAAAAGCTGGCTTTGCTGTGAAAGCGATTGAAAACTCACTTCATGCCCTAGGCAGACCCTGGGCTCCAGAGGGCAAGATTTGCAGCCCCTCTCTGCCTTGGATGGTGAGTATATTTCTTTCTCAGGGTCTAAGCTTACTGATGTGTGAAATGGGCCTGATAATAACTTCCTATTGTTGTTAATTGTCTTCGAGTCAAACACAACTCATAGCAATTCTATGAACAAAAGGCCTGAAGCTCCTCCACAACTATCGACATTTATCAACATAGAGTTTCTAGAGGCATGTTATTTAGGAAGCGGATGCCACTCCTGCTTCCAAGCTTGTCATAGTATGTTATTGTTACGTGCCATTGAGTACATAGTGACTCTATGTACAACAGCTCTGAACCCTTCCCTGTCCTGAGCCAGTCTCAGTAATTCTGACACCAACCCCCATCGCCCCAGTCACTCTATCAGTCCATCTCATCGAAGTCTCCCATTCCTGTGCTGTCCGTCTACCCTTCCGAGCATGGTGTCCTTCTCCAAGGACTGATCTTTCCTGGCCACGTGCCCAGCCACGTGCCCAAAGTAAGGCAGAGCTTCAAATTCCTAGCCTCCAAGGAGAGACTTGGTTTCACCCTCTCCATGACAGACCTGTTTGTTTTCTTGGCAGTCCGTGGTATGTTCAAGACTTTTCTCCAGTACCACGACTCGAAGGCATCAATTCTTCTGTTCTCCTTAGTCATTGTCCAACTCTCTGAAGCATAACACGTAATTGAGAAGACCGTGGCCTGGATTAGGCGCACTTTTGTACCTAGACTGACATCATTGCTCTTCAGCACTCTGCAGAGGTCCAGATAATAATCAGCCCCACATCATTTTGTGAGTTAGAGGCAAGAAAGCACAGCATGCCTCCAGGAAAGCCAGACAAACCCACTGCCATCTGGCTGCTTCTGACTCAGCAGGTGCTGTTGACTCAGCAGATGCTACCTCTCTCCTGCAGAGCTGCTGAAGGATTCACACCTCTGACCTTTGGATTAGTGGTCTGATGCATCATCTGCTGCACCAACACACTCCTCCTAAAAAGCCAGAGGTGGGGGAAAGCACAATTCAGGGCACTGATTGTTTCTTTCCAGATGCCTTCTTTCCCTTCCCCAGGTTTGAACACCACTTCTCAGAGATCCAAGGAGGTTCCAGAATGCCCATTCCAACCTAAGGGAACCTCTTTCCTCTTCCGTAGCAATAGCACTCTCAACATCACAGCCTGAGTTAACTTCTACACTGAGAGATTGCCAGTGGTTTACTGGAATCTGTGATTCTTTCAAACTTTTCAGGCCCAAGTTTGACAACTCAGGCTTGACTTTCAGACCACCATCCCCCATTCCTATTTTAGCCTCTGAAAACAAAAATCTTGGCTAATGCTAACAATAGCACCATAGAAGAAATGTGCACGTAACCACCACACCAAAGTAAATGCATTGGCAAACCTTAGTAAATCCCCCACACCCCCCTTAAATGCTGCCTGCATTTACGGCAAGCATTTCCTTAATTTACAATTAACAGCTTTTTGGGGAGAAGACAGGCTTCTTCGACTCAGTGTCGTGTGTTCAAATTTCAACCATATAATCTTAGTTCATTCTTTGTCATCATGCCATTCCACTTCATGGCTGTTCCATGATCTATGTATGCATTCTAGACTAAATGTAGATTGACTCTCGCTTGAGACTAGAAATACTGTCACAAATATTGAGTTGCCTCATGTCTTTCCTATTACATACTTCTTTGGGTGTATTCTAGAATTCAGACTTTTGAAATGTCATTTTCATTGAAGTAGTTTATAGGACACATCAGTTTTCCATTCTACAGTTCATGCACGTTTGTTTCATGACGTGTAAACAGCACCCTTCCCGAGGCTTCCTGTTGCCGTTCACCCCTTTCTCTTGCCTCTTCTTGCCTTTTGAACTTTGCTTTTTGAGGCAGTGCTGCCCTTTAGTTTAAATTGATGCATCCGTCATGTTGTTGGGTTCTGTCCCGTTGAGTCTGTCTCAGTCTCCCGGACAGAGCACAGCCCTGTAAAATTCCCTGTAATCATTATGAAGCTCACAGCCTAGTGCTGGACACCATGCTACCAGGGCTGCTTTGACAGGTCCCAGGATTAGACATAACCTCAGATTGGCAAGATTCTGCTCAAGTGAGTGGCCAGATCGACTTACCCCCCGCCTTCAGTACCATTTAGGCAACCCCTCTGCTGGGCAAAGTCTTTAGGAATTTCACTGCCAACCCAAAAGCTGCTCCTTTCTGGTGATTTGAATGGAGGATGAAACTTGAGCTCATATACTTTGAATGCATTCTCAGGAGGGACCAGTTCTC